GACGTCACTCCGCGGATGAAGACTGGCTTGCTCCCACCCCGGACATGGATCGTGCACAGGCAGCACTCTCCCCAACGGATCATAACGAGGAAGCTGCCAGTGAGCTTGGGAGCGACATAATGTTCAGTCCAGCTCCAGCTGCTGATCCTCCGCCGGAGGTCACAGACGATGAGCGGCTCTGGTCACCCTCACCAGAGGCCCCTCCACAGCAGCATGTTCCCGGAACTCCTGTGGGCCACCTGCTGGGTCGAGTACCTCACCGACGTGACTACTCGGAGGTTGTCCTTCAAGCACTCCGAGGCAACCTGTCCCGCCCAACGCTGAGCCCAACGCCGCCAAGGACGCCTCCAGAGCCCTCAGACAGCGAAAACAGGGAGGAGGACAGACGGACACTTCCCGTTGAGATACAGAGGCGGCCAGTGAACAGGGTGCCAAGGCCAAGTAAGGCACCGCATCTACTGGAGAGAGGGCACACCGACCAGCAGTCTGACTCTGAGGCAGCGGTCTCGGAGGAAGGACAATTTACTGGCAGGCCGGGGGAGGATGCCTCCAGGAGGAACGATGAGCAGCCCTCAGCGTCGACGGCACAGCCACATAAGCGCAGCAGAGCCTGTGCCAAAATGCTAGTCAAGGCGGGCTATAGATGCCCACGATGCTTTAAAATAAAGCAGGTGGACTGCCAGTGCTCGGGATCGGAGGGAAAACTGCCTCAGCCAACGGCAGCCAGCTCATGTACCTCTGCACGAGCAGCGAGGTTAGGGTGGATAGATAGCATGCCCACCTGTTGGGTCCACCCTCGGAGGTCCATCATCTTAGACCGCTTGAATTCTCCTGACCTTCAGTGCAGCCACAACCAGGTATTGCCAATGGACGCCCATTCCTGCGCTGCAGAGCCTGCAGACAGCAGGCCTTTCTCCTGCTGCTGGGGGCCTAGATTCTTCCGAAGACGCTCGGTTCTGGTCCGTGATGCTAACAGGCACATACTCTGGCCTACGCTAAAGGTAGATAGGTCTTTTCTCTCCAGGGCCATCACCCACCTGGCCAGACTTCTCGCTTCGAAGAGCACTAGGTCTGCTGCAGTTGTACAGGAGGATGCCTCCAAGAACGCCGGGCCCCCAAACACACCGATAGGACACAACGCGCAGAGCCGCTCGGGTCCCAAGTCCCGAGGTGGACGGTTGCTAAGCACTATGATCATACAAAGCTTCCTAACAACCTGTAGCACCGCCACAGACGTGAGGGTAGGGGGAGGAGTCGCGAGTCCCCCTGAAGCTTACTA